TCATTTTCAGGACTTTCGTCCAGGATTCAGGTTTTGGCACATATGCCATGTTGACCGCCATGGTCATTTTACCCTAAAACAGTTGAGATTACCTGTGGTAAATGAAATGCATACAAACTCATATACAGGTCCTAGACTATATGTAATTAAGGCCTTTGACCTCATAGACCATAACAAACTGTTAGAAGACATGCGGGAAGTGGGTGTGAGATCTGCTCTCATCAGATGGTTTGCTTCGTCCTTGGATGAGAGATCTCATTTCGCACAATTTGGAAAAGAAGCATCTGATTTTGTGATTGTTCTTGGAGGCGTTCCGCAAGGTAAATTGGGACCAATTGCTTTTGTGGTTAAAATTAACGCGCTACCTAGTGTTATAGAAGAGGCTGTTGCACAAATAGCTGGAAATGATGAAGTTGTGGTGAACGAGGATACGATACTTTTCATGGACGATACCACGATGTATGAGGCACTAGATGTCTATGACCATATTTCTGGTACTGAAATTGGGAATATATCCCAAAAAATTAATTTAGTACAAAACTTTGCGGAAACTGAGAGAATGTAGTTGAATCAAAAGAAGTGTAAAGAGGTGATATTAGATTTTCGGGAAAATAAAACAGTTACTCCTGCAACAAAAGTTAATGGTTGTACCCTCGAAAAAGTAAGCTCTTAAATAAACTACTCGGTGTATGGCTAGACGATGGCCTAAAGTGGAAAACAAACACAGATTACATTACCAAGAAGGTGGCTAAGGGGCTATACCTTTTAAGAATTCTTATAGGATATAATGCCCCACGAGATGACTTGAAAACATTTTATGCCTCAGCAATTAGATCAATCTTAGAATATGTCCCATGATAATGGTTGAAGTGGCGGGCCAGTGTGCATGCATTCATTATTGACGCTATTGGACGTTGGATGGGATCTAGCACTTGCATCAAATACCATTCTTACTTTTGTTGTAGAGGCATTTCCTCTTGAGGAGGAAAGATCCTGGCAATAGCTGTTCACGTGGCTCACAGAAAATTAATTGCCTAACGGGGTGAGGGAAAAGTATCATGTTACATGCTTCCACTTCCGCACTTTAAACTTCGATCGCAAGGAGTGAGTGTTCTGTACAATCAGTACTTGCTAAATTTGATTTCTGTTTGCTCTTAAATTATAAAAATATGATAAACAGATTTTTATAGCAATAACTCAAGAAATTAAGCAATGAAAACGTATGATCGTAAGCTCAGTTGTTCTTATGTTCTATCGGGGCTTGCCGCTTGGGCGCACTTAAAGGCACTTTTATTTCAAACGTTTCTGCTCTGCCTTTGGTTCACATATTTATAATCTCATAACATGTCACTGAATTTTTGTTATCTGGAAATGGTATAAACTTTACATTGATTTACTTGTTGATTTCAACAGAGGTCTCGAGAGCAACTGCATGTTTAGGTCGTTGGCTGGTAGCGCCTTTGAGGTGTTTCGGCAAAGATTACACATTTGGACAGTAGCCAAATACTCAAATGGACATGGAATGTCCATTTCATTCAGTCTAAAACTGTTTATAGACTATTTACATGCTACTACTGATTTTATAATCAGTTCTGCAACATCAACATAAAAAAACTAATCCCCGAGCCGGCGGCGCGAAGCGCCGTGCGAGGGTACTAATTCCCCCCGGCTATTTACACCCGGGGAAACGAAAGCATTAGCGAAGTCTAAAGTTCATCAATCATCGCGGGCGCTGACCAACGAACGACGATCTTGAGTGGGTGGTCATCCTCACTTATCTCAAAAATATGGCAAGCAAGATTTCAATTTTAAAAGACATATATTTGCAAAAACGTTTCATATACAACAAGCTTGAAGCAATTTTGTTTGAAGAAATGAGAAGAATTGGTTTACTACGGAAAATCGGGAAATATACGGCAAGTTTGCTTTGAATATTTTTAAAATGTTTACGAATTTTGTTGCTTTAACTTTTTACGTATTAAATGAAAAACATGAACTATAGAAGCTCTAAGTTTCATAAATTACCGTTTAATTTGAGAAAAAATCTTAAAATGTAAAGGCGAACAAATTGATTTGAAAACTGAACTGAAATTACCTAACAATTTTATTTTATTTGTATTAAACTTATCATGTTTTGTTAAGTAAAAACAGTTTATCGGCAAAATGTAGGTTTACTTGAATGAACATTTCAAAACATTTTACGAAGCATGTCAAGTTAAATTTTACATTAAATCAAAGCTCACAAAATGCAAAATAATATACCTACAGTATGTATTTCGGAAATTTATTGTTGTATAGTTAAAAGTACGAATCTGTCAACTATTTTGCAGTTTTGTACAAAGTATATGAAAATAATAAAAATTTAAGAATATCGTGTTGTCATGGCAACACTTGAGCGCGAGCCTGCGTTCAGTGCTGGTCATTTCTGAATACTTCATGTTTAATGTATGGAATATTGGCGAGGGGTTACTGCATGCATGTATTTCTAGTCAATAATTAAAAAAAACATTGTCAACAAAAAACTTAAAAAACAAATTAATAATTCATGAGGAAAAGACAAAGGAAGTCACTACTGTGTCAGTGGTTTTATATGCGATAAAAAATCATGTTCATTTACATAAACTTTACCTTTGATTTTCTCGGCTTAGATAACGTTTATTTTTACATTTAAAGTTACTTCGCCAATGAACTCAATACATACGATTGGTCTTTTTTAAGCCATTTAAAACACTCGCAGTTCGTGCTTTATCAGATACAATTTTTTTTATCAAATTTCCTTAACCGTATATGGATGTAGTGGAGCTCGCAATCTTCTAAACCTGGAGTAAATTCGGCTCTCAACTTCAAAAATAGTGTAATCGAAAACCCAGTTGGAGTTTGATTGCAGGATCCATTTTCGTCCATAATCTGCTAGTTTTGGGTCGCTTTGTGAGATATAGAACCCGGGCATGCCTACCTCCGTTCTTCTAAGAATGGTTGTCTGACAGCCTCCACAAAAATGAACTTAAATTCTTCCATCAGGGATCCCAGGAGTGAAGGGCAGAGGGTTCACTTGCCTTGTATAGCACCTCCTTTAAGGATGGTCCCTATTGAATATACCACTGATATAGGGGGCCTAACTCAAAGGGAAAATTTGGCTTTACCGCCGCAAAATCCCTTGACGAACTTTACTTTTTCTTGAGATTAAGAATTTCCATTACTCCAGAAAAATCGGGCCCCTTTCCTCTGGAGGGGTATTGTACATCCCAGATGTCCAAGCCGGCACGTCCCTGGATGGAAGTCATTGCAAGTTTTAACTCATGAGACACGAAAAGAGGCGATGGACAATTGAATAAAGAAATACCGAATGTTATATACACAATTCATGTAATGCTGATTTTTTGTAATACACTAGCCTACTGAAGGCCTGTCTATAAATATTATATTTCGTATCCTTGAGTATACATTTTAAAAAACTTGATTCTATTATTTACTTTTTCTATTCATGACATTCGTTCCTTGTGCCCTATTTTGACTATTTTTCTAGTTTAAAGTTACGATGCTGATTGACCTGTGAAGAAACTGAGAATCCCGTAAAGAAGAGTACTGTACTACTGCATGACCATAAACATGACATTATTTTATAAGCGCTGAAATAATTGAAGAGTATAATTATAATATAAGATTACATGGCATTTTGCCAGAATAGAAGAAATAACCCAACGAAGAATAAAAAAAGAGCATTGTGATTCAACTGAATTCCATCACATTTGGGATCAGTAGGTTTGCACGTGTTGTTGGCCATGCGTGTTGCTGTTGCAGTTGACATCGCTGACATAGTTGTGCTCGTGTTGCCTGTGGGTGTTGCTGCCTTTGCTTGGGTTGGCTGCATTTCCTAGACGAATAGATTGAGTAACATAATAAAACACTTGAAGCACCCATGCAACACCCCCAATCCCAAGCGGCCATTTACACATCTAATCTCCAATTATAAAACAAAATAATTATATACTTCTTATAAATACTTCCTGCAGGGATTTGGCAAGGGCAAGTATATACATGACATGTATACTTATCAAAGCTTGCACTTCGTGAAAGCTTGTACACGCCAGCTGTAAAGTACTCAAGAAAGCTGCGTATAGGTGCTGTTGTGGCTTCCGTAATTTTCATTCTGCTCACATTAACATGCTGCATATCATTCTCACAAATTTGTTGTTTTCGTTTTTGGAATTTCCATATTTTGTCACAAACTTGGCGCAAAAAACATTTTCTTACTAAAATACAGTACAACAAAATGGTGGATTTATCGAATTTTGAATAGCTATATCTTTGCAGTGAATAACCACGCATAGATGATTTAATGATTTTATTTGGAGAAAATATTATAGAAATAATAAATAAAGTTTGTTTAATTATGCGATTATTCACTGCAAAGATATCAGTTGAGATTATTCGATAAATCCGGTATATTGTTTTATTTTTAATAACAAGATGGGTAATTTTTCAAAATACTTGCAGTGAATAATGATATATTTAAACAATCTCCAGATCTGAGATTCCTATAGTATCCTCTCCCAAATTTAACCACTAAATCATCCATAACTTATTCTGATAATTTTGAGGCCAAGTTTGTAGCATTATCCCCGCCAAAAAGTGATAATTTCAAAAACAATAAACAATTACAGATTTGTGAGAATAACATATTCTATGTTAATGTAAACATTGTACAAGGAGGATGGAAATTAAAGAAGCTACAACACGCCTATATTTCTCGAGTAGTTATGGCCGGCACAAGACCGTTACCTAATTATAATCCAAATGACGTCACCTACTGTAGGTTAAAATAATTGACATACTGTACATGAAGTAAGTTCTGGTAGTTGGAAAGTGTATGTTTCAAGAAGCACTTTGAATCTCTGCAAAAATGCCTTTAATTAAACCGGGTAATATTTTAATTAAATAATGAATAAAATTTTGCCCATGCAGAACACTGAGCTATACTATAACTGGAGGACGTGCTCGGCATCAAAAAGTGTCGCCAAAAACATGGCGGATTTCGGCCTTTGCTGACGCCAGAATGACGCCATCTGGTTCCTTTTGCTCATGCAATTACCACTGAACAAGGCTCAATTTTGAGCCCGCTACGATTTTCACTCCCCCTAGTTTTTGCAAAAAATATTTTGTTGTTTTTGCAGTCGTAGTTTTGGATTTTTTATATAATTTTTGGACGTCGACTATTTTTTTCAAAGATGTGCAGTTTGTACAAGTTATCCTTGTTCGCTAAAGACAATAAACCTAGAGAAATATCGGCAAAGACGACATTTCAGCCTCGGACCGGCAAAATACTAAAATATAATATTTCACAGTTAGTGAGTTCTCGAGAACCTGAAATACTGTAAATATTTCGTGAAAAATTGGTCATATTGATGGGATATGATTATATATAAATACGATGGATAATGCTTTATTTTAGCCACAAGTATTTAAAGTTTTTGTTGCAGAAAATACGTCGACTTTTATATAATATAGTTTCATTTACTTTTAATAAATATTTAAATATTGCTGATATGTTATATAAATGGTTACAATTTCGCATGCTATAGTATATTGAAGCTCTTTGTATCTAGCAGTATGAAACCATACATGTATCAGTATTTTGTGTTTTTATTTACTAACTTTGTACATCAAATAGCACTTTTGTGGGGAATACAGTATGTGCATGATGTCATTTGTAGGAAGAACACATTTCAACTAATGTGGAACACAGATGGCATTGTAGTTACTGTCTTATATTCTCTGATAGTGTTTGGATAAAATTTCAATGAGGGGCTTGACACTTCATTTTTATCAAGGATAGGGCATGGCCAGTGCCCACTTATTGCCCTACTTAATCCCTCCCTTTCAATTTCAAGTAAGAAAATTTAAAAAAATCAATTTTCAATGTTCTCTACAGGCCTACTAGGTCATTGTGATGAATCACAATATTTGAGGAAAACTATTAATAACAATTTTACCAATGACCAGTCCCATATTTTACTGATTAGAATTCCTTTTTCTGATTTTATCAACAATCTTAGCAGAAAATGGGGGTGCACAGCCCCCTTCCCCACACACAAGGTACACCCTGAGTTAAGCCATACTGTACTTCAGGCACCCGTGGCTTAAAATTCAGTATTTTTTGTGCATTTCTCTTTTCACATGCTTTTTTCTTTGCAAAATTATCCCACATTTATAACACAGTACACAGCTGAAGTAATTTAATTTAACTTTTTCAAAGAATAATAATTAATTACAATAAATCATTTTAAAATCTAAACTGTTCTAATAACTTTGTTGCCCCACTGGCTATGACTAATTTGCTCTGTTGTTCAGTATCTTGAAACTTCTAGGGGTACTCTTACTAGGGGGTACTAGTACTGGTCCTGGCCAGTACACCACTACTCCTGCTATTTAAACCTCCAAAGACCTTGAGTTTCATTCTTGTCCACATTAAAGTTTCAACCTAAATAAGAAAAGTGAGTAATGTTTAAATATATTGTAGTTAGCTAGTCTATCATTGGGTCATTCCAGGAAACATCCATACCACCCCCACAGAGGAAATAGGAAGTTAACGCCCTACCCCCTTTGGATGTCCTAATACATTTACTATTATCAGAAACAATTTTTTCTTCCTTCCCCCTCTGGATGGCAGAAATTTCCTCTGTGGGGGGAGTATGGATCTTTTCTGGAAATTACCCATTGTGAGGATTATTAAGACAGAATATCAGACCCCTCACTACAGAGGATATTGCTGTCATCTCAACAGGGAAGCAGGACAAACCCCTCTGTCATAGTAAAATGTTTGAGGACATATATTAAACAACTGAAGGAGAAAGGTGTTAACTTGTATTCCTCTTTTTGGGAGGTGTGAATGTATTGTGGAATTACCCATGAATGCTTGGTCTTTGTGTCGAGGGTATCAACAAAACATTTGCTTGTATTGCAGAGGTGGTATATGCACAAAATAGTGATTTATTGCAGCAAAAAAGTTGCCCCATGGCCATTACAACTCAAGCTGCTGTCAAAAGTGCCATGTACAAATTGGTTGTGCACACCTCCTACCCCCCACATATACATGACTAACTGCAGTATTGCACAGTAAGCAACTGCTGTTTAATACAAAATCTGGCAAAGACTAGCAGTTTAATAATATAAAGTTAAGATAGTCACAGGAAACATATTTATTAATATTATATAAAATATTAAAATCCAGAGCTTACTAAATGCTTACAATGCTTATTGTAAGTGTAAGGGTTTTAATAAATAGTATATAGAAGGACACAGAACATTTAAAACTACTGTAACTGGCAATAAAAACCGAGAGTAAAAACACAAAAGCCAGAGCTTGAAACAAAAGCAAAATTTCATACACACAAATTTTTTAGCCATCTGAAAAGTTTTTAAAAAAATACATCTTACCTGAAGAAAATACTCTTCGTTTATAGCGTATTGCAGCATCCAAAAGAAAGGCATTTTTTCCTCGACTTTGTAAAACAAGCAAAGTAGGAGAAAAACATTTTTAGCTGGAAACAAAAACATTTTATATCGAAAATCCAGGGGGGTGAAAGACCCCGTCAAAAGCAGAGGATCGCGGTTTGTCAGTGGTAAATACCATTGCCAAAAGAAACCAGATGGCGTAAGCAAACGTGAAAATCCGCCATGTTTTTGGCGACACTTTTTTGACTGGCGGAAGATAGGAGCACCTCCTGTAATATTATAGCTCAGTGATGCAGAAGGGTTGTCAGTGGGAGGTTTTCAGTTCCACTTTCTTACCCAAATCATAGATTTTTTAAATTCCAGTCGCCCGACCCATTTGCCCAATCCTATTTTCAACAAAAAAACTGCGGGTGCATGTTTCATTGCCTACGGTCAAAATGTCATTTTCACAGTGAAATCATCAGCTCTCATTTACCTTTGAGCATTTGACAACTAGCATGTGTTTTCAGCAGACCATTACACGCATAATAAACCTAAATCTACATGACATTAATATGGATGCTAGAACATGTTAAATACCGGTTTCTATTTTCGATATAAATCAATTACGAAGTTAGTATCATCTAAGTTTAAATAAATATGCAAAATTTGGATGATCCGTGAAAGCAGAGTAACGAAGGTGAACAATTGTTATACGGTGCAGGATTAATATCACTTCCAAAATGCAGTGATTTTTTGACAGCCGGGCACGTACACTGTATTGTTATATAATTGGTTTCATAAGTGTTTAGGACAAAATATGTTATGCATTTGTACATGACATTTGCCCTGTATAACGAAATTTATTATAAAGACAACTACCGGATATGAGCTATCCTGCAATAATAACTACTTGTTTTGTCTAAAATCCTTAAATGTATAAAAATTTCCAGTTTTCAGCAATGTTTGAAGTATTATTTAAAGAAGTAGCAGCAGCGATTTGTCAGGTTTAGGGCAAGTTGTGTTGATTGCTAAACTAACAGTAAAAATATTGCCATAGAGATGAGTCACTAGTGATATCTAGTCATCATCGTTGTATATGACTCGGTGCTGCGCATCTCATCGGCTATCAGCTCATATGTACGACTTGAGTTCTCAGAATAACTGTTAAATAGTATGCACATGTAGGATATATGCGAGAGGTGGAGTAATTATTATTTCCTGCCTTCCAGCGGTACATGCAGCATAGATGGAAACGTTATTTTAGAAAAGGTCGAGTGAAGATATTTCCTCTCGCTTTCTCTGTGGTTCCCAACTCCGTCATTAATAATGGTCGATCCCTTAGACTGGCATCAGAGAGTTTACTATTCACGACGCGGCTATGGAGGAGACACATTAGAAAGGCTTGGTAATTAGTGCGGCCAACGCTTCTTGTGTAATTCCAACTCGTATAGTCGACGATTCTACGACGGAAGTTTGTCAATTTCACGTTGTGTGATCTGCGCTACGCTGCAAATTTCAAGTTTTTATTTTTGATGAAGTAGTATCTTTGATTACATTTCCTGTGGTGTTTAAACAAAAATTACAAAGATTTTGAAAAACCTCTCCTATAATATTCCCGCTAAAATAAACGTTTACATTATTTATCAAGCCTTTATCTAACGCGTCTTCTCTCGCCTCGTCGTGAATCGTAAACTCTCTAATACTTAGACTGTTTCGACAGCGCTAAAATGAACGACAGAATTGAATTTCGGAAACGCAATAACAAGGCCTTGCCCCATTGTGCCTCGAATCTTTGCCCCCTAATTTTATAGATAGCGCTTACCCTCTTGTAGAGTTCTGGTGATTGAAGTTTTACCCAGAATGTAGTTGTGTCTTTCACGACCGTAGCAAAGAAAGAAATATTTCCAGAGAGGCTTATTGGAGGTTCCCATTCAAAATTTACTGTCTTCACGCTTAGTCTGGTACTGTGCGTAACGGCACCCTGCAAAAACATACAAAGTACATAAATTAAATGCTGAATCGTTGTAACGACTCGTCCCTTTAGAGGGCACTCAGAAAGTGCATATCTATGGCATCGAATTAAGTTAAGTATGTTGCATAAACGTATGCACTGCCTGATTACATGTTCAGTGTTCTTTATTCCGGGAAAGCAAGGCAAAATATGGTTATTAATTTCTGATCTGGGTTGTTTACCATTTACATGGAAATTCCGGTGATTCCATACGGAAAGTAAATGGAACAAGCATATTTCGACGGCCCAACCGGAACTTTTCCGGAATAAACGGTTTGTTTGAAAAGGTTGTCCTCTCTTACCGATTGGAAAGTTTCAACCGGTAAATGTTGTTCCATTTACATTTTTCAAAATTTTTCACCAGTTCCAGGCTCTTCGTGATTTAACAATTGAAATTATTAAATGGAAAGCGAATAATCCGAATAGGATTTTTTATCCGAAATTTTGCTTACCATTAGCACAATTTCAAACCGGGTGGGTTTTACATGTAAATGGTAAACAACCCCCAATTTCGTCCAAATTGAACCAAATTTAATCGATTTGTTCTTGACCTATGGCCAGTATAGCGAAACAAATTTTTGTGCACTCATTCCGCTTAGCTATTTGCACCCTGGAAAAAGAAAACGTTAGCGAAGTCTAAAGTTCATCATTAATTGCGGGTGCGTGGCTTTGTTTCATTTGGCTCAAAAGTGTGGCGCCCAATTTCAGGAATGGAAAGAGTGGGATTTGCTGGAAAAAACGGTAAAAGACATTCATAAAACCGAAACTACATACCGGATTTTGGGCGCCCGCTCGATTCGGGTCATTTAGTAATTTTACTAAATGACCCTCATCGAGGGGCGCCTTCGGGAATTTTACTAAACGACCCTCATCGGGTGGGACGTTTTAACAGCTAATTCGCCTCTTTTTATGCTATTACTTATAATAAACGTGATGTTTCCAAACAAATACATTTCCGGCATGCAATCAAATGGAACATAATTCACCGGTTGAAACGTTCCAATCGGTAAGAGAGGACAACCTTTTCAAACTATTGTAGTCGTGTCCTCATTCGTATTCTTTATATAAAGAATACTAATAAGGCATGCAGTATATCTATTGAATTTGTAGTCGTGTTTGAAGCAGTTTAATAAACTCGCAGGTCGTGTTTTATTAGGTCTGAAAGACACTCGCGCTGCGCGCTCGTAGCTTTAAACCTAATAAAGCCCCGTTTACACTACGCTCAATTTTTGGTACGGCACGGTTAAAATTGGTATCCGTACCACTTTTTTGGTTCTTGGACTACCTATTTAGCTAAGCCCCGTTTACACTACGCTCAATTTTTGGTACCGTACCACATTTTGGTTCTTGGACTACCTGTTTAGGTAGTCCAAGAACCAAAAAAGTGGTACGGGTACCAATTTTATCCATGCCGTACCAAAAATTGAGCGTAGTGTAAACGGGGCTTAAACTCCTGCTCGTTTATTAAACAGTACTTTATAAAACTATTAAACTGCCTTTAATTAAATGGCTTTATCGATAAACTTTGAGTTTGCAATAAAATGGGGAATCAATATAAAAGTTACACTGAAATTATATGCTGTCTTGTTTAGTTGTTTCATGTACGCAAAGGCCGTCGGGTTTTAAAGCAATTATTAAATCAATATTTAAAACAAACTTACCTTCTTTAACGTCGGCAAGGAACGCGAGCAGCGATGGAGTAATAATTTATGGTTGATTCATTGACACAGCATGAAGCTTGTACGCATGCATGCTGAAGTCATAATATACTGTATATAAATATTTTCCTTCCTAACTGTTTCATAATCTCGTTCCGTTCATAATTCTCCATCCTATAGCTGATTGCAAAATTCGATTGGGACTGCACATGCTATAAATGTGTGGAAACACGGAAAATTTATCATCTCACGTCTTTGATTTTAAAACGGAACAATTTTAATATTAACGGCGTTGTAAACGAAACAAATGTGTGATAATTGTGGCGTAACGCTCATTGGGTCGGGCATAGCCTATCGAAGGGAAGATGGCTGTGAAACTCATTAGAATAACAATATAACACATTATCTATGTTGGTCAACGTTTATTCATAAATCTGATCCTTCACCGTCACGTGTGTGTTGTATTCTTGCTCAGCTAACCAATAGCAATAGACGTATTTCTTCTCGGCACGGCACGGAGAAGCGAGAGAGACTCTGCAGAACTTGTGTACATTCTTTGTGGAGCCGACAATCCAAAAACTTGGAAAATTATGCGTAATTTCAGGTTTGATACTAGTTTTATAACCGGTTTACAACCGAACCGGAAACTACTTATTGAATCTTCTTCCGGGAAATTTATGGGTTAAACTAACCCAGCTTTGAACAACCGGCCCCTGGTGAGTGGAGACTCGAGTGGTAGGAAAAAGCATGAGTGTATGTTGACAGATGTTTTTTATATAATAAATAGCAACTACCAAGCTATGTTTAGCAAGTTAGTAGTGCATTTATTTCAATTGGCTAACTTTTTTAGTTTTTCCAGCATTTTTAAACAAACCATAGGTTATGAATGATAACTGGGTATATCTAATTAAACCAATTTCTCATGTACACTCATGTAAATAAGACTAAGTACATAAATAACTGTAAAAAATGTACTTTAGTAAATAAATGAATATTTATTCATACACTTGACCTACTTTGTGAGTATTTTTTCATATTAAAATTAATGCAACAATAAAACAAGAAGATGTCTATTTATATAATATTTATTAAATTGATCAGAGATCCCACTTCAGCTAAGAAACCACTGCCAGCAGGGAAAGATCCCACAATAACATGCCACTTAATTTGTTATATGATACATAAAAACTTATTTTATTGCTTTAAAACAAGTGAAGCTCTCTGCTGGCTTGAAATGGGCTGTTATGACACTGATTTGTCCATGCTGAGGATTCCACAGCTCGATTTGCCACAAAAACCCCAGTATCAGGCGATCAGCTCGTCTTGAAATACGTACACGATCCAGTCGCGTCGGCCAAAGACAACAAAACTTTGAAAATCGCACAGATATAAATTCTAAAAAAATATTAAAACAACTCCTAAGTCTTCTAAATAATATTTTAACACTTTAACAAAAATTCATTGAAAATATAATTTTTGATGGCTCATTTTCTTTCCAACGTATTAGACGCCATTTTAGCGAACGTCGAGTTGACAATAGTCACTTCAACGGTCAATATCTTGAAAACTGCCGGAGGATCACCGGGATCATTCCAGCAGATTTAAAGCTTATACTTTTGTCTTGACGACTACCAAAAATGAAGAAAATCGAACCATGGGAATTCTAGATATTTCATTTTAAACATTGTAAACATATTTAGACTTGAGTGAACACTTCGCGGGGAGTCGACTAACTTCAAACATCAAAATAACATTGAAAATAACATTTACCTCAGAGATTTTTGCAGATATCACCAGATCTTTAGCAGTAGTACTACTACACTTGAAATTTTGCAAGAAAATTTTAATATTAATATTTTTTTCCGATTTATTTTCCGTCGAATGCAAATTTTTCTGTCCAAATTCTGCAGATAACCCGATGGAAAATAGAGCGATCTCATTGGTCGAGAGCTCACGTGACAACTCGCTAATTGCTTGTCGTACCTCCTCTGGAAACAAAGGACACTGAAGAAACTTTAAATATAAAGCAGAAGAACTCGACTATTTTGAGTGGATTTTATACCGAACTAATGAGAATTTGTAAATTAATCGACCAGGCTAGAAACTATTCTTGAGTTGTCATAAAATTTTCTGTGTTTCTATACACCCTTTTGATAAATGGTTGCCGATTAAAAATTCTTTTATGCGCATATAAATTGGCCCAACTAGCCTTGTTTCTGGGTTGAAATTCCTTTGAAATCTTAACATGAGTACGAGGCTAGTTGGGCCAATTTATATGCACATAAAAGAGTTTTTAACTGGCAGCCATTTATGAAAAGGGTGTATAGGAGTTATCTCTAACATATTTGTGAGGGGGGGAGGGGGGATAGTTAAAATTTTTATGGCATTTCGAAATTTTTGCCCCAGAAAAATTTTGAATTTTTAGAAAGCGAAGACTATTAAAGAAGCAAGACAGAAAGCTTGGAAATCGTTTCCCACAATATGTTGTAAATCGCCGTTTTCAAATTTAAAAGAAACGATAAGTTTGGGAAATCCTAAAGCGTAAAGGGTAAGTTTGTTTTTACTGTTTATGTATGAATTTTCTGTTTATATTTTTCCTGAAGTCCCTGAACATGTACAGCATTCCATTGTATGTGAATTAATTTGTTTTATTTTTTTTAGAAAAGATCAATATAGGAGAGAAAATTATTTTCATGAGCGACCTGTATGATTTAAATTTACTGATTCCATCTCAAAGTACGAAGAAGAGTTTATCGGCAAAAAGGAGTTAATTTCAATGAACATTTAAAAAGTTTTACGAAGCGTTTCGCCAGGGCCTCTTTTAAGGATATGTAACTGGATGGGACATCTTTCCCAAGGGACCAAAAATAACGTAAAAAGGGGACCTGAAAAAAATCTACTAAAGTCTATAAAATTGCGGCTACTAGCTTAAATATGGGTTTCGCTCTAGGGCAGCAGATGATGGTCAAATTTAGAAAATAATGTCAAGTTGTCAACACACCTTTTTCTCACTTATATATAATTGCCAGGCAGCTAGTGAAACTCATCTATACAGTATACCACTATATACATGTAATCTATCAATCAGCAGTCCGATGTAAAAAACTTCTTTACGAAGTCACGTTCCGCATATGAACTCAGATTAGGAAGATTCATTCGCCTCTGTTTTTTCTGTAGAAATTCTTGCACCATAGGACTGGGGTCAAACTGAGATGTTGGCACTCCATTCCAGTGAATCAATAGCCTATCATTCAGTGTTTTTTCAGATGTGGCCATTCTCAGGTTGGAGAATAACATGTTGTACGTTGACACACATCTTTCCACCGTCATACTGTGAGGGCAGAGAACACAAAAACCTGACAAAAACTTGGTCACAGGTTGTTTGCTGCCCCTTAGCATTTGGTAGAGTCTCACACCATAGTCTCTTGCAGGAATATGTGTATCAGGAAGCATTTCCGTAAAATTTTCTAATACTGCATCAATAAATGCTTGTTTATCACTGATTCCACTTGATTCAAGTTGAGGTAATGCAATGTTGATGAATTCAATTGCACGTTTTGCTGAGGTCAAGTTGATAATGGTTGTTACAATTTCTGTTTGTTCCTCGTTGAGCCTGGTCTAAACATGATAATGATATACATAAAAAATATAGGTAATAGTAATTAAAAACTTTATATGGTGTGACTTGATTGCTAAACAGATATGAGATTACCTATTTATCTCATTTTACCTGGAGAAAATTCCTTGAAGAATCAATAACCTCTTGCCTGATAGGTTGTTTTCCTCTACGAAACGTTGTCACATTGGTGTTGTGTGTCCTTCTTGGTGTATTATCCACTGCTTCATCATTCTCTGGATGCAGTTCTGCAATCTTCTTTGTTAATAACTCCTCCTGCCCACCTATGTGCAGTAAAATAACATACAATGTAATGAATAATACACCTTTGTTAAAGAACTCAAATAAGAGTGAGTTCAATTTGTTTTCTATAAACAAAGTAACTTACTAACTATATATATTTTACCTGGATATGGCTCTGTTTGCATTATATCAAGTTTTTGCAAGGCAGTATCTCTGTACTTCAAGATATCAGGAATGATAATGCCAGGCTTCTGGGCTTCTTTTTCAATATATCTGAAGATACAGCATGTGTCCACCATAACAGCAGTTAGCCATGCTTGCACTCCTGTTGGTTGCCACAACTTTAAAAATCTTTTTGCAGACGATACCTCCTTGGTATTATATTCTCGAGGAGCATCACAAATCTTTTGCCAGTGCTTTAAACATCCATCTAAATTGAATAGTATCGCTCCACAAAGTTGAACAAAATGTTGAGCAAACCTTACCTCATGATGAGGAGGAAAACTTCTCATGTCTGGTTTTATGGTCTTCAACTCCTTAGTCCTTAGGCCTGATGTGCGGTAATAAGTAGCTACTCCCGTTACATTGGAAAGCCAGATTTTCAGTTCAGGTACCAACCTAAGACATTATAAATGTTAACATTAATATAGCCTTATAATTTATTTTTTTATCTTTTTTTGCTCAGGGCTTCACTTAAAATCTCTTTTGTGAGTGGACTTCCTAATGAAATATTGTAATCATTATTTTATTATTATTAATTTATTATTATTATTACCTCATCACATCTTCCATTGCTAAGTCTGATCGGTGACATGCACACCAGATATTTCTTGTTGAACGACCAACATAATTTTCAACTCTAGCCCACAGTCCAGAATCCTTACCAGTGTTTGCAGACTCTCCATCGGTGCTCATCCCAACAAATTTTGACTGCAAACATTCTTTAGAAAGGCCCATGTCATCAAAACAGTTTGTCATGGCAGAACACAAACCTTCAGCACCACGCTTGGTACTTTCCCTTGCACTTGCAAATCTTGTCTTAATAGAAAGAGGGTCCTCGGGTGTATTGAATCGAACAAATATAAATTTCTTATCTTGTTGCCTAGCATCGACAGAACCATCCATTTGTGCAGCAAAACAAATACAGTTCTGGAGTTCTTCTCTAAGGTGCTTTCTCTCTGTATCTCCTATTATCTCCAACATTTCTGCATAATGCATTGGATCCCTATAATGAA